CCATTCTTCTAGGGAACCTTATATTTCTGAAAATCGGCGAAGTTTCTTGCTTCCTTCACTACCGATGAACTATATCTGACTATACTTCCGCTGTTCGTCAAAAAGAGGGCCTTCAATGTCGGCTTTTTAATGGAAAGACAACTATAGAAACAACTTTTATTTCGACTAACCCCTGATAGACTGAATCTGTACTTACACGCTGTTGATTCTGAAGGCACCGTCCAAGATAATATCGATGTACTCTTTCCAGATCAAAAAGCGGAAGTGTGTTAGAGTTACGTAGTGTGTGGGAGCGCATTAATGGAGAAGAAAAAGAGGAAAGTCGCAGAATTATCGAAATTATGGTGAAAATGGGATGAAAGCGTTATTCGGACGGGCTTTCGTGAAGCTGCATCGGGAGCTAGTACATGAAGCTAAAAACCACAACAATTTCCTCCCACTCCCGCCAATGTTCACGACCCGACGTAAAATTTTCACTATGGGTGCATCACTGTGAATGGTGTAGCCTAAAAAACGCCGTAAAATCTCGTCTGCTCCCTAGTGGGGACTTCAACGGAGTCGGTATTTCCCCAACAACGCTCCATATGGGGTACCTTGGAGTGGCACATTCTTCCTGATAGGACTCCCGAATATTTTTATTGCGAACTGCGACTTCTATCAGAGACGACATTTGAGTGAATCTCGAGAAGGATCAACCAAAAGTGCTCATAATTTCATTTATTTCTGCGTTCTACTCGAAAACAGAATTCCTCTAGGTGTTCCAGGGGGTTCAGTGGAAAAATTAGCGACGAAAAGTAAAGTGCTCTCACCTCCGAACACAACCAGACATCCAGAAAAACCTTCCAGAACCAGAAAATCAGCTATAGTTCCCGAAATAGGCGAATTTGAACCAAATGTCAATCCTTAAGAAAGGGTCTTCAGTCGAAATGACCGATATTCAAGCTGGAAACCTGTGACTGATCAAGGCTGTTGAGCAAGAAAGGTTTTATATAGGTAAGTATATAAGAAAAACCTTTCTTGCTCAGCAGCATCGTTCAATTACAGGTTTCCAGCTTAAATATCGGTCACTTCGGCTGAAGACCCTTTTTTAAGGGCTGACATTTGATTCAACTTTGCCTCCTCCGGGAACTATAGTCGATTCCGCCAAGTAGGTCTAATCCCTCCGAATATACCCAGCACTGCCCTTTCGTGAATGTTTCCTTTTTAATCGTGATCAAAAGATCGAAGCTAAAGAAATGTCACCAAAAAGAATAGCAAAATGCTGCTCTTTACGAAACTTAACAGTGTGGATTTCCCAAAGCATGCATAGGGAATGAGAAAAATGAAAAATTATAGAGACCAACAGATAGAATTATCCCGCACCGATAGTGAGGTGACCTTTTATTTATCTCGGTTAAATGTCAGGGATTGAGAGAGACATGGTGGGATGGCCTACTGCAGTGCTGTAAACTTCAAACTGTTCCTAGAAAGAGCAGATAAAAAGTTTTCCGTTGGCTTACAGCTTAATCAGATAGCATCATCATCAACAGGAATGTTTGTGGTTAATCTTATAGATTCCCAACAGCTGCCTTACAGAGAAATCTAGTTAGCAGCCCTGGTTAGGATCCGATTAGTTCCGAGGAATCGGACTTCCTCCTAAGCTGGAATTCCCGGAACGAACCCATAGGGGAGCATTGAGGAGCAACGTGAGGCATTCGAATAATCATAAGAAGAAAAGACTTCTGAGTTTAAGAATTTCAATTTTACTTTTCCGTAGGGTAGTGGTAAGTATCTGCGCCACATGCTATACCCAGGACCAAGTCCTAGTCAGGTTGAGGGCGGGTAAGAGGGAACCACATATTTGGTTGGGTGGAATTCTGAAAAAAAAATCACGGGGACTTGTGGGAGTTACCTAACAGTCTCGTGAACGAGTTTTTTTATCTAGACAAAAATACATTTCACCATTTCAACGACATCAGTCGAAAGTCGGGGGCATGTCGCATTCCGAGGAGGTGAGCACCGATATGAAGCACGTTTACAGCAATTGGTACCACTCGCAATACGTTTTTAAGTATTCCCAGAACCTACTGAGCAGTTAAAGGAGGATTTTTCATCATAGCAATTGCAGATTGACCAATGACGTAGGTGGAGCACTGTTTAATGACGCCACTAAGCTAATAAATTTCTTCTTACAAACGCAAAACCATTAGCAGCGAGTGGTTTCGATCCACCGACCTCTGGGTTATGGGCCCAGCACGCTTCCACTGCGCCACGCTGCTGTGCACTTCGAACATAGAAACTTGCAGACAAGATGCACTCACAAACTTCACCAAATATAGCCCCCACTGATGAATAAATAATTTCCATAATTAAAATCAGAGTTAGGCATAAAAATTCTGCAAAGTCACTATCTGCCATACAAAAGTGCAAGAAGAAAAGAGCGAAGAAAACGGAAAAATGAACTATTCAAAACTCTCTGTGCTGTTGAAAGAGGGGACCATTTAAGGAAGTATCTAACGATTCAGCAAAGCTATAGGGGTTCCTTTGCATCGTGTATTCAGTCTTCAGAATATTAATAAAAATTAATAAAAGACAGAGACAGGAACAGTCAGTTCGAGGCCATTAAGTATGGGTTGAGCGTAGAGGCTTATTCGGCTTCTCCTTCAAAGCGCTTTCAAAGGAATTCAAGCTTTCAGATTCTGAGAGGTTCCTTCGTTGATCCAAACACATATAAACCAGCGAAATTCATTGGCAACATACCAGATGTTGGACGTGACGTTGCCGAAGTTTGACCGGCACTTCAGCAAATTATTTTAGGCATTTAAGATTTTTTGAACAAATTTTTGTTACCAACACTATCAAGAAACATGCGTGTATAACGATATCCATAAAAAGTGCAATACTGAGGAAGAAAAGGCAATAAACAACCAAAAATTATCGAAAAAATAGAAAACGGGCGACAGAGAGACGTTATTGTTGATGAGGTGTCGCTTCAATCGATCGTAGCCCAGATGACCGATAAGATCAAAATGCTTTCCCTGAGGGTCACACCCATATGGTTACGGTACTAA